GTCAAAAACAATTAACTGCACATAACAATTTGAAACATACCATAAAATATGACAAATATCAGCTTTGCTTGTACTTGTTGTCAATCACACCACATTGTTGTCTTATGGCCAAAAACCCAAAGTAATCTTTCACAATTTTTCAAACAAGGCAGTAGAGATACATTTGTTGATTCAACGGCAACATGATGCAGATGAATCTGACAGCCTACAGCCTACCACTTATTCTTGACTTCGAGAATGAAATGGCAGTCAATTGAATTTGTTATTGTTCTAGATAATGTTTTGTGGTTAAAGTAACAACATAAGTAAACACTATGTTGACACTTCATTGTGTACAGTACTGAGTCTGGGGAGTTCCATCACCTTGTAAAGAGTTTTAATATTAAATAGCAGTTGCCTTCTGTTATCTGCAAACATTATAACAAACATTGGACATTACGATTTAATTGGATCAACATCCTCACCTCACAGATAGTACATAAATACCTAAAACATGATTTAACAGCAGGATTAGAGAAATTAGATAATATCTTTTTAGATACAAAAATTAAATTCATTCCAGAATCTAAAATTAATGAATATTGATAAAAATGACACCCTCTCGCTCCCACTCTTTTTCTACCTACTGAACATTTGGAGGAAATTAAAAAAATAACTGAAATTGGAATTTATTATTTTCACTTTTTTCAGCTTTCTGACCTAAATTTTGGGGCCAAACATTTGTAAATCCCCCAAAATAAATCTGGCCTTACCATGACTACTGATGCTTGTTATCAATACAATCATACATATTGACTGTGATGAAAAGATTGGAAGAACCTGAACTAAATGAGGAGAACTTTGGCTCAATCCCTTGAATAGCTGCTTAACTCGAGTCATTATATGAATATTTCTGTTTAACATCAATACTTCCTAAGTCAATTCGTGAGTGAGTTAGGCCTCAGCGCTTTGAACATGTTGCACAACATTTCAAAATGTTACCATGATTTACAATGCAGATCTATTATCTACATATTTAAATTTGAAGGCATCATCAACCATGTGAACATTTGGATTCCACTGTCATTTACTGTATTCGACGTAATAAGCGCCCCGCTCTAATAAGCACCCACTGCGATATTTGCTAATATATTGGCCAGTGAACAATCTCAATTAGCACCCCTTCCGATTGATAATGTACACAAAACATATATTCGCATATAATACGCACTTGTGTGTTATATGCACCCTTAATTATGGGCAATTAAATTCTGGAAAATATATGTCGTACATAAACATTTCAGGCTGTCAGCATAAACCAAGAAATTTATCTTTCATCTCTGTTTTTTTCACCAAAATAATATTCCCTATAAGAGCCCCCTATTTCTTATTTGGAGAGCGCACTGGGCGCTTATTACGTCGAATATGGTAAGTACTATCGGGTTATCTAAACATGGTAAAGGACTCAGCATTGCAGACTTAGGCCATATGGAGACACCAGGTGAAACACTGCCACCTATTATATCCTAAAAAGGGAATTATATAAATATCCATTTGCATGCAATTAAAGTTGATGAACAGACATTCAAAACATATGTCTAGCTGATTATCCCCTTTTCAAAATATTATTTACAACACAAACTTAACTTGGAAAAAGAACACAAGGTCAATACTTGAAATCTTGATCAATACTTGTGAGTTTTGCACCATGACATTACTGCCAATGGCTAACAATAGCATTTACTGCATCTGGAAAGTTTTGCGACAACCTGTTAAGATCACCAAATATCAAAGCTACTTTCGCAGGCTTTATTTTTTATAAACAGGAAGCAGCATGGTTATACGGTAACTCAGTGTCAGTCAGTGATTTGTAATATGTAGATGCATGTGTTGTAGTTGACAAGGGAGATAGGGGTAGCGTGTCTGGATTATTTGGTGCCATGTCAAGAACTTGACAAGATGGCAGGTTAGTAAAGTCAAACTAATTAGACTATTGACACATTGAAACACAAAATGTGAGGAATTATTGGTCTAATCATGTACTGGCTGGTTTGACCAATGTGGAAGTGAATTCAAGAAATATGCCTCCTTAAATCATTTGTTTGTGTTGGTCTGCAAAAATACTGTTTCTTGCGAGTGTGTGTTGCTCGCAGTACTTTCCTGCAGACAAAACTTTCCAGATTTACAGTAGTTGAAATCTTCCTCTTGAATTCTGCATTGAATTTATGTGTGCCCCTCATAAAACTCCTTGTTTTACTGGTGTAACATTAATCCATCAATTCCTGACATCTTACAATCAAATAGAAATGATTATTGTTTAGATTCATGACAGCATCAGTACAATAACATTACATTAGGGCGGGTCCAAATTTACTACCTGGGTACCCGAACCCCTATCACCCGACCCTACCCGGATACCCATTGTAGGCCTCAAGAGTTGGGTACTCAGTACCCACCCGACCGGAGTACCCGAGCTACCCATCCCAGACCTACATTACATTACATTTTCACCATAGTAAGCACCATGGGCACTCTTTGAAAAATGACAAAGATTGGGTGCTTAGTAAAACCATACACAAGTTAAAATTAAATTTCTTGTTGGAGTCATAGAGAACAAACTTGGTTCAAATGTTGACAAAACTCAAACATTTGCTATAATAGTTACAAGGCAATTATATACCTCTTCTCCACTGCTGTGTTAATCATGTTAATGTAAACATCTGTAATATACGCCAGGAAAAAAAGAGTGTCATGGAAATGTTAGACTTAGTTTGAGGTGATTTTGAGGATTACACACAGATTGATGTCAGAGGAGACATAATACATTGGGGACTCCAGTCACTTGATATTCAAATTCTTGAAATACTGCCTTATGGTTTAAACAAATTATAAAATAAATCTGGATAGGTTAAAAAGCAAAACTTGCTTATGTAAATACCTCAAGGTAATAACTTAACAACTGCTGGTTGTATACATGATAGTGTTAAATATAATTATACGAAATGCACAAATGAAATACATCATGTACATGAATCCAATACATTGAAGTCAGTGGTGTCTATGAAATAAGATAATGCAGTTTTCCATAACAATATACATAAAATTAAAGCTAATCAAATCTTTTGCTTTTAACAATGAAGTCGTGAACTGATTGAAGAAAATCCATGTAAGTAGAACTGCTGACTGAACTATTGCCATATGTGCAGAAATACATAGTGTTTCTGATATAATCATATTTTTGACAGCTATAGAAAAAGTGAATTGCATCTTCAAAATGATACCAACAAGGGCATTCTGGTTTGTATACATCCTTATAAAGCTAAAGCTTTAACTAGCTACCGTTTTGTTTGTGAACGTACAATTATTCAAAGTCCCATACAGTAGGTAAATACCAACATATGTTAAACATGTAACACCCTAATCAAGATGGCATATTAGTTTGTTATGAATGCACAGAAAAAAACAACATATGATTGATTTTCCCAAAGTTATCAATTATCAAAAATATCCAAAATACATTCTAAACATAGTATACAGCACATAGTGATACTTTGAAATTGCAAAGGTGGAAAAATATTTTGGTCATTTAAGTCACAGAAAAAGAAAAAGAAATCATTGTAAAACTTCTACTCAAAGTCTTTGGGACACTATATAGATGTTATCATGTGAGTTTGTTTGGGGATGGTAGATATCCTGTATTAGGAATAAACATTGTATTTAGCAAGCCTTGGTGAGCAAAGTTACATCATCTGAAACTATATATCAAGCTGATGAGTTACAAATATCATCTGCCAACAAAATGAATGACATCTTCAAAGGTATGTTTTTGTTTTCATGTATTTAAATTTCAATTACAAATGTGACCTCAAAAACTCTTTCAGAAAACAGCATCGATATTGTAACGATACAACAGCCGCCTCTAGACAAAACTGCCTGGCAAAAGAAAGTACACACGTATCATAGCTGTGTTTTAGACCTTAAGCTGGTAGTGTTTCACTGTTTTCATTGAAGTAACGTTTTGATAACAATTGTAATATTTTTGTCAAATCAAATTTTCAATAGGTGAGCAGTTTACATAACGAGTTGATGGAAAAATAAAATTAAATCTTCTTAGTTTTTGTTTTAATATAACTACAAACATGTACATGGGCGGATACAGAGGGGGGGGGGGGGGGGTGCGCACCCCCCTTTTTTATTTCGAAAAAATCTTTATTTCTGTATAAATTACCACCAAAGACAATAAATAGATCTTAATTGTGCACACACACACACACACACCCCCTTTTCAAAAAAGCTGTATCCACCCATGATGTATTATAAACTTGTTTAATGTCTTACTCATATTACAATATAAACACATTATTAGACTCTTTGCAACCTAACAACCTGAAAAGGATAATTTTATCCAGTTTTCATTTCCAATGCAACAAGTGTCTATTGCCTCTTCCATTGCATTACACCATCAAGGTCCCTTGACACAGAAGTGATCACCACTCGCCAGTGCTTAAGAAGACCCGTACATAACAGTCTAAACCTTGCGGTGTTCTAGCGAATATTGATTGAGACATCTGCCCATGTCCAAACACACATTCTGGGTCAGATGTGTTACATACAAACGAACGACGATTCAAAAGGGGGTGTTCAGCTTAAAACACATTGACACTGCTATTTATAAATACGTCCAACACGATACCATAATAGCTCGGTAATTGAACTTGGCTAAATGTCATTTTTGCACCGAAGGCAGGGGCCTTAACCCCGGCGTTTGATTCGGTCGAAATCAGTTAATGCAATAATTGCAGCGCCGAATATCAATAATTACATCCCCGTGTAATGTTATGTTTAAAAATCCACAATTCAGCAATGATCCACGTACATTCTACGCGAACAAAACTGGCAGTATTCTGCAAAACTCGGCCGTCTGATGTGGCATTTATGAGCAACCATGGTGCCATATCCATCGTTTATCTTTCATAGTGTATTACAGCAAACAAAACTACTCCAAATTAAAGAAAACTTACCAAATGGTGGTTCTACAATTGCCGTGTGATAACATGGCAGCACTGTTGTGTCTGCTGCCAGCCTCGCTGTGAATGCTAGTACCAGCAGCCGACTCTACCATTACTACTTTATAATGAGGGATATCGATTGCGTGGGTTCCCTCCGTTATAGTGCAAATATTGGCAACACGCCATATGAAATGTTAAATTATGTTGATATTGTAGAATGAATATAGATTTAACGTTGCACCTGCTGTGCGTTATGGCTTCTAAATGTAGTTTCATGCAGTTTGTGCATTTTGGTTTGGACTTTTTATGGGCAATTTGAGTTGTTCTTTCGACCAGAGACCCAATACCGTTTTCATAAACAAAAAGCAATGGGTCTAACTGATTGAGTTAGGATGAATGTTTGGTATCCATTTAAATACTTGGTCACTTGCCATTGCGGTTGCTCGTTAATTCTCGCTGCTGTAAGCAATGTCACTAAACGTTCGTTCAGAGATAAGAAAGTCATGGATGCCAATATAACTCGCATGGGGAAAATGACTTTGCATACACAAATATCAGCGGTTGAGTAAATTATAGAGCTCATCTTTGGACTTTTGTATTATATATATATATATATATATATATATATATATATATATATATATATATATATATATTATTTAACGTAGATGGTATATTCTTGTAGATAAGATATACTTTTTTGTTTGTTTCGTGTTTAACACCGCACTCCGCAATCTTCCAGCGACATGACGGCAGTCTGTAAATGAAGAGCTTAGAGCCATAAGGGCCAATGTCATGTGGAGTCCGTTTTGAGAAAAATGATGAAAACACATAATATTATGCATGTTAATGAACTTTTTATTTACCGATAAATTCCTAGACATTAACGCATTGTGACAGCAGAGATATAAATGTTGTTATAAAAAACATTCAAAAAAAAGGAAATAAACTTACGTTTTTAATTTGTGTAAGGGTGGAAAGGGCCAATGTCTGTATTTGGGCCCTTTTTTACCCTCAGGCATTTGCATGGGATTTAACATGTGAGATTGATAAACTACTACTGAAAGTACAAACACATACTTTGGAAGTACTTTTAAATGATTTAAACTGATGCCAACTTTGTTGTAATATTTGAAATATAATAATAAGGTGTCCAAACTTTCAAAATCTCTCTCAGACAACCAGTCTCAACCACACACGGAAATGAGAGCTTAAAGGACCAAAATCTAACAAAGGGACTTTGGCCCTTTTGGAACTTGACTTTGGCCCTTTTATAGAATTTTAAGTATCTATATTTCAAAAACGCTTCAATGAAAACATGCAATATTTTTTCTACAGGCATTTTGGCCCCATTTAGCTCTAAGCTCTTCAAATATTAGAGTTTCGACAAGACTATGCTGTGATTGACATTATCAGCATTGATATTCCAGAGATATCATGACGCCCTGTTTATAATCGAGTGATTGATATTGTGAACAACAATACACCCCGTCAGGGTACAACGACACGCTATCAGCCGAGTCACCTATCTAACGACAAGCATAGGTTGCTGGGGACCTATTCTAACCCGGAATCCCCGCGATGATCGAAGTTGAAAACCCTTTTTAACACCCATCAACATGAAGATTGTTAAAGATAAAAATACCCTTAGAGTCACGACCCTCCCCTTTCATAAGGTGACAAGCTATATCTACTATATATATATTGTGAACATATAGTCCTTTGCCTAACATGGACTCTAATGCGTTTGCAAGGCACGCCGAAGATTCCGGTTCGATTCCCGACATGGGTACAATGTGTGAAGTTCATTTCTGGTGTCCCCGTCCGTGATGTTGCTGGAATATTGCTACCAGCGGCGTAAAACAATACTCAAGAACATGCCTTGCGTTATCAAATACTCATACACACACGCCATGGCAACAATCAACAGCACACGCCATGACAACAATCAACAGCACACGCCATGACAACAATCAACAGCACACGCCATGACAACAATCAACAGGTGAAGCCTACAATTAGTTGGGTAGCCTGGTAGATGGTATGTATGTTCGCTCACCAGGACTGTTCCGTGTGTTTGTTTTTATTTTCAGTAACTATGGATGTTTCAGAAACATTTAGATCTGCAGTTTCTGACACGTGTTGATAATAACCAACATGGAGCAAGGAAAAGAGGAACAAATAGACGAAGATTAGAACACATCACCGTCGACCCATGTTACAATCTCTTCTAGCTGATCCGTATTCTTCAGGGGTTCTACTTGCAATCTCTATATATGAGTGTGATTTTCCACTTGACTTATTAGTTTATGGTTTTCCAGTACTACGGTCGCTAACTAGTCTGTCTTACAGACCCTGATACAAATATTAAAAGCAGCCCATGCAAGTCTATAATGTTTGGCAAGTCTAGATTACTGCAGTATCTGAAAATGAAGAGATTCTCTTGGCTCCTTTTTTATTATATTTTTATTAAGATAATTGAAAACTGTTTTTTCTTCTGTACGATATGTTCCTTTCAGAGACTAGATGTTAGTTAGTTGCTAGTATGGAAGCGTTTTGAAGATATAGCGCCGTACGATGCCATGTCTGAATCAATCTTTTTCAAGCTGGTTATTAATGCTCTATTTTGTTTAACAATTGCGGCGGCATGTTTGTGCATTTTCATTAGATCGCTTTTTGTAGCTAGGCCAAAAACGGTTTTAGCTGCTGATCCTAAAAAAGTTGAACCAATCTCTCTTATGTCTTGACTTACGTCGAAGGCGGCATTTTATGTATGAGATTCTTAATACTGTAACGTACATGTATATCTGTCCATTCTTAATTTCTCTAATTGATTGACATATTTGTATACCATTTTCAAACTTTTGCACGATTGTACTTCCGAATTGTTACATGGTGTCAAGAATCTCTCGAATTTAACTGTTGGGGACAGCATTTCATTGGTATGGACCCACCGACTCCTGTAAACATAGTGCCATAGTTGCGTTCTCCCACTTCTCCCAGCAGGAAAACAGTAGCATGACTTCTTGTAACAAACACCCCACAAACACGAGTCTTATCTTGTTTACATGCAACCCCCCTGGTCTATTTGTATCAAGGATATTGGAAGAGGTCAGCTGTCTAACATATGGGCACTCATCAGCTGTGTCAAGTCTCTTGATAGACAGCAATGAACAACTCGCACATGGCCTGTTGCTATTGATTACACCATGATCATAAATCGCTCTGTCGCTCCCCTAACTGCTTTGCAAATTGCTCTCCGTCTTTGGGTCCTAACTGATTACATACATTTTTCCGAGGGAGACCATGGTTTGTTTTACAAGCTGACTTTTTTATTATGTTCCCAGGTCGAATGTATTTTTGTCAGTCATGTGTCATAATATCTTACAGAACAGTTTAAACTAGCTACATATTGGTTACCGCAGTGGATTGCTTAGACCAACTGTGCATGGATCATGTTCAAGACGCCGCTAATTTGATAACGTAATAAATATATTCCCCGGTGTGTTTACTTTAGTCTGTGGTGGAATGCACTGGTTTTGATTTAACACAGGCAGATGCATTTTCTAACCCTAATGAGAAGTATATTTCACAGCGGTTGTTTTTTTTGTTTGTTTTTTTAATTCTTTAGATTTCAGTTTGATTATTTGATTTCGTAAATTGGGTCTCATGCATGACCCAAGGCACATTAGCCAGAATATTAAAAATCTTCCGCATACATATAAGTAAATTACATGATAAGGTGAGGTGAAATTGGGTTTAACGTCGCGTCCAAGATTATTGCACTTATATAGCGACGTGCATGCACGTGTGTGCGTATGTGGCTGCTTTGTCTAGTCCGGACTGATGCCGATAGTGCAAGCTCACCGCTCGGCATTAAAGGGCTAAAACAAAGACTGGTCCGTTCGGAGTCTCTGTGGGATATCCATGTTAACCTAGCTGCGGCAAAGTATCTCAGTGGGATAACACAATAAAACCAGCATTAGTCTGGATGAATACAAGCATCCACACACATAATTGCAAGTGCATGCACGTCACAATATACGTGCAATAATCTTGAACGCCACGTTAAACCCCATTTCACCTCATTTCGATGTTCCCGAGACGTGGAAACGTGTATCAAACTATTGCGGCTTTCTGTTATTGTAGTTAAAATATTAGACAACAAAAAACTTGCAGTGAAATTATTTCTGCATTTTGTCCAAAACATGAAAGTAAAAAGTAAAGAGGAAAGTGTTCTCAAGTAATGAACGTTTTCCCCAGTCTAATATGCAACCCATACTTGCCGTAAAAGGCGACTATCCTTGTCGTAAAAGGCGACTGACGGGATCGGGTGGTCAGGCTCGCTGACTTGGTTGATACATGTCATCGATCCCAATTGCGTGGATCGATGCTCATGGTGTCAATCACTGGATTGTCTGGCCCAGACTCGATTATTTTACAGACCGCCGTCATATAGCTGGAATATTGCTGAGTGTGGCGTTAAACAACAAAAAAACAAACAAACAAACAAGGCGACGACTGAATGCAGCAGGGTTAAGGATCAAAAGAGCAATAAGACGTTCACTCCTCTCACCCTAACACGGGACCCGTTTAGCCTGGTGTCAGCACACTGGAACTTGAGGACATGGAGGAAGATTCACTGGTCTGACGGGAGTAGGTTTTTATTGCACCACACTGATGGTAGGACATGTGTCTGGAGGCAAAGAGGAGCATCTTATCATCAAAGCAACATTGGCATGTGGTGGCGGCTCAGTGGGGATGGGGATGTTGCGCCTTTGATTGTAAACTTGATTTGGTCACAGTTCGGCGGACATTAAATAGACAAAGATACCAAGATACCAAGATACAACATTGGACGGTTTTGTTGTGCCTCATTTTGATAATCACGCTCTTGCCACACGTCCTGTCTTCATGGACGACAATGCCTGACCGCACGGAGCGCAAGCTGTGACTGACCATCTCCAAGAATTGACCCAGGCATTGCATAGGAAATTGCTACACAATTCTCAGTTGAGGATCAGGCGTCTGATTTTCAGCATGAGGAGAGGTCTTGCGGATGTGATCCGTGTATGGAGTGGCTATACCAAATACTGACTTACCCTTTTGATCATTTAGCTGTGA